CAATAAGCAAAGGTGTAATGAATTTTTTGGTACATGATCAACTTGATCAAATTTGGTACGTCGCAGAGAAGAAGCTAAAAATGTTTAAAAGTTTGTCACAAGACGGTCTATAGAAAGATACTAGAAGACTTTATTCGTCCAATGTAAACCCACTCCACCCACTGTGCATAAACCCTAGCCCCAGAGCCAAGATTGATCAAATATTAATTTATAATACATAGTATTGCTCACATATAAATTAAATCTGAACTCCTGTTCTTGAAAGTATAAATCTGATTTGTAATTGTTATTATTTTGCACAACTTCATTAATCACCTTTACCCAAGAATGCTTTGCATCATGTTTTTTGTTGAAACTGGCCCACTGGTTCTAGCGAATGTCAAAAATGTGAATTTCAAAGACAGAAGGATGGCAAATCTCAGATAACACGTGTACAAAAAGCAGAACTCTCTGTCATCTCACCCTAAAACTACTCTAAAATCACTTATATTTTGGTCTATTTTTCATGGTTTGAGGAAAATACATGTATTGATTTGTGGGGATTTGATTTCATGGTTGAAGAAGTATTGCATTGTTATATATTTGAAATTCGCGGTTTCACTTTTCTGCGATTCCACACAGCTTTTCCACGAAAAAATTCCCAATTCAATTTCCTTTTTTTTTTTTCCAAACATCTAAAAGTAAAATTCAATTTCCTTTTTTTTTTTAAACATCTAAAAAGTAAAACCTATCACTGACCAGTGTGAAAAGTGAGATTCATTCAACTAGATGAAATCCCTCGCAAGCGCGGGGAATTGAATTTATACCGCTACCGACAGAAAATATATTGTAGTTTCTACTGACAGCCTACAGGCTTATAGCAGAAAGAAATACTTTGTTCAAAATCCCGCATAAAGTAGATGTAATTGTCTCCACCCCACCCCCCTTTTTTGTAAAAGCTTGAAAAATAACAATTTCATTAATTGACATTTATTTTGAAACATGTAATACTATGTTATGGATATTGCACATAAGATGCTCTTATTTCATTTTCGTCGCGGATAAAAGCAGCGAAATAAGCGAATATGCACATTTTACTGATATATTTATTTTTTGGGGGGGGGGGGGGGGGGTGTTGGTTTATAAATATGTACTTTACTTTTTTTTTTTTTTTTTACATATCAATAAGGTACATACATATTTATAAACCAAGACCCAAGTACCTGTGTAAAATAAAAATAGCTTTAACGCTCTTTGAATAGGCTGAGTATTTGATACAAAAAAACTGAAATGTATTGATTAAAGCACAAAATTTTACAGCTTTAATTGTATTTGAACAATACCTTATTCATTAATTTTCTCTTTTCATGTAAGCAAGTTTATTACGAAGTACAAATTGTACTCCGGGTTCGTTGCCACGATGCTCTCGGTTACTGATAAATTTATTAGGAAAACCTATAAATATATTCACAACTTATAGTTTTATCAATTATTTACCATTATTTCAATGACCATTCACACAAAATCTTTTTTTTATGTTCATGCAGCTGTAATCGCCTCGTTTTTTTTTTCTTTTTAAAATCGGGCTGTCGCACGCGTGGCGCAGTGGTTAGAGCGTTTGAGAGTTGATCCTTACGTCGCGGGTTCGAATCCCACTGTGGGATGTGGAGACCGGTCCTTCGGATGAGACCGTATAAACCGAGGCCCCGTGTCGCAGTAGGAGATCCCTCACTGCTCAATGGCCCTAAGTGCCAAGTATAGGTATAAATTTGCAGCCCTCCACCGGGAAGTGGTGGCGTCTCCATATGAGTGAAAAGTTCTCGAGAGGGACGTTAAACAATACACAAACAAACAAACAAACATCGGGCTCGATGCTATATGATGTTCTAGAAGCTTCCGTCAATATTAAGACCGGTGAATGATGAAAATAATTTGTACATTTCTCTTTTTAATCGGTTATTACAACATATTTCTTTTATATCATTTAAATCAAGTTTTAATTGAATAATTCAGTGATGACGTTTTATAAAATAAATAAACGATTGCTTGTTGTCAGTTTCATTAAAAATTGCCAGTAACTTAGATCCGCCAACCGGAAACGCCACCGTACTCACGTTTTTCCTATTTCATGGCTGTTTATAGAAAATGAAAGTAGACTTTTAATTTAATGTACTTTACTTACTATGGGAGTGAAATCTAAATATAGTTTACGGACATCATCTTGTATACAGTGTATTGTTAGCAGATTAATTAAGAACTCTGGTGCACACATTTCGGAGTTTATTTGCAAAATTTATTAATTTATAAGTATAGATTTTTATCACCATGTGAGTAAGTACTCACTACCTGGTAGAATGCTTTGGGGAAATACAGGCAAATATCAGCAACCGTTTCAGGGTTCTCATTAACGAAAGATTCTGTACTGGATGCAGCAAAATTATTTGAGATGCAAGATTCTTAAAAACGATGTGTCCGTGGAGCCATGAGTGGACGCATCCTCGATAGCGAGAAAATTCGGGTGTCTTCGAAATTCACGTCTTAGATGTAACAGGAAGGTCTTGATTTAGTATGTTTTGTTGGTCTCTTCATACCACATAGATAGTGAAAATTAAACCCCCATGAAAAGGAGTGATTTCACAGTACATGCATATCCCCGATAATACTTGGTGACCTTGATAAAAATACAAAACATATTATAGTGTAATGTACCTTAAAACATACTCAGTACATCCCTGGCATTAGAAAGCAGGAAAATCAAATTGTTAATAGATTTCAACAATGCATTGCTCTACGACTTAACTGATTTTAAATTAAGTTGCAGATTTATACCAGTTCAGGACTTGTGCACCTCAATGCTCCCTAGCCATGACACAGAAGAAATGACCATGAATTTTGCAAAGTTATAGCTTCAATCTGATTTCAAATTTTCATTATATTAGAGCTGCGCAATAATATCGATTCCAGTATATTGCGATTCGTTAACAAAAAATATCGTATTGCAATATGTTTTTCCAATGATGATATACCGGCAAAATGATTGGGCTTTAGATTTATGAAGTAAAATATGAAATTTAAGATGTCAGAAATGTTTTCAATCGTGCCAAACAGTATATAATAGTAAAGGTTTCTGTTGTGTGGTTGCATTTCGTTGCCAAACTGTAGTGAAATCAACTAGAACTTTTTTGTTACAACGTTTTTATAAAAAGTTTTATACACTCTGCTTATAAATGGAGGTTAATAAAATAAGAAAAGAGCATTTTAACTGTTATTAAAAATATTGCAATACATATCGCAATACAGTTCCAAATATTGCAATATATCACAATACGAAATTTTCAACCGATACCCAGCCCTATCTTATATCATAGCAGCCATATTTTTGTCAAAATTTGTATATAGTTTGAATTAAATTGACAGTTAAAAAGCTGTGCCATGATAAAAGAAATTGTACTTGTATTGGTCAACAAAGTAAAAATAAACACCCCAAAATCCCCTGATGAAAGGAGGCAAAATTACAATAATAAGTTTTGTATGAAATGTTCCTCTTAATTTTTAAATCACTTTCTTTTAAGATTCTGCTGTCTTTTTTTTTCTTAGTTTGCACAGCTTACTTAATTTATATGAACTTATTGGTAAGTATGCAATATACATATTGTGTTATTCAACATAATTACCGTTATACAAAAATAACTATCTATAAGCATCAATACTGATCTTACAGTGTGTACTTCTGATCTTTTTTTTTTATAAAAAGAAATGCCTTTCTGCAGGCAAAAAAATAACATCTAATTAGTTTTCATCACCAAAGTAATTTCAAAGATGAGAGGGAAAAAATCTATACCTGGTTTTTGTTTCTAATTAGCATTAATAATAATAATAATGAAAAACTTTCTGCAATTACCTTTGTTATTTTACCCCCGTTAGTGACTTCTTCTTAAACAAGAGGCCCATGGGCCACATCGCTCACCTGAGTAACTTTGGCCATGCGGTTCATTACCAGATTTCCCCCCTTGTAATACCTATTGTGGCCCCGCCCTACCCCCAGGGGCCATGATTTGAACAATTTAGAATCTACACTACCCCAGGATGCTTCCACATAAGTTTCATTTTTTCTGGTCCAGTGGTTCTTGAGAAGAAGATTTTTAAAGATTTTTTCTATATATTTCAATGTAAAACTTGTATTTCCTATTGTGGCCCCGCCCTACCCCGGGGGGTCATGATTTGAACAATTTAGAATCTACACTATCCCAGGATGCTTTCATATAAGTTTAAGCTTTTCTGGCCCAGTGGTTCTTGAGAAGAAGATTTTTTTTATGACCCCACCCTATTTTTGTCTTTTCTTGATTATCTCCCCTTTTAAGGAGACTTAGCCCTTTATTTTAACAATTTAAACTCCCCTTCCCCCAAGGATACTTTGTACCAAGTTTGGTTAAAATTGGCCCAGTGGTTCTTGAGAAGAAGTTGAAAATGTGAAAAGTTTACAGACGGACGGACGACGGACAACGGGTGATCAGAAAAGCTCACTTGAGCTTTCAGCTCAGGTGAGCTAAAAACTGACAGATATATAAAACTTCCTGATAATGTTTAAAATGCTCCGACAATTTAAAAATCTTTCAAATAATCCTCCCATATTTATTTTACAAACAAAAACAAGTTTAAAAAGATTACAATTACCTTTATTAGAAATTAACCTTAGTTATGGAAGAGTTAACCTGATTTAAATGTCATTATGAATGCTAAGTTAGGAAAAAAGCATCTTTAAATAATATATTTATGATTTTGTCAGTCATTGAAAACTATCAATAAAAGTGAAAACTACTTCATACTGACTGACATGGAGAGGTGTACATGTACTTCAATCAGGCATACTTGAAGTCATCTGTTCATATTTGATGGATAACATTCGAAACTAATGTCAGTTGTACTGATAAATAAGTTGTGCTTTAACAAATAATTATTACATAAACTTGATTAACTTTGTAGAGAAATGAAGCTTGAAAGGCACTTTAATAAACGCATACCTTGGACTGTATAGGAAGGGAATCCATTTTTCAAAACTTATTCCTCTTCAAAGTCATTACATTGTACTAGGCTTAATTCCTGGAAAGATAATTTATATTGCACAATAAATTAAAAAAATCTACCTCAAAGTCAAGCTGTTAAAACACAATTTATCAATTCAATGAAGTCTCACTACAGTTTGATTTGATCATGAATGTAATCAGGCAGCATATATTTATTTTCACGCTTAGATCTGTGTACTGCTAAAGGCTGTTAGAGCATGTAGAGAGTTGGTGAAATTTTTTAGGTGCACACACTGGGTGATTCATTGGCCACTGTTTTGGAGCTGTTAACAACTTACAGTAAAATAACACCATTCAATAACTTCTTTTCAAAAGTCATTCAGCATAATACACAAAAAAATTAATAATGCACATTTACTTGAATTTCAAATTTTAAATGCTTCATTGAACTGATCATGTATCATCTGTTTACCTGTATTAAAAAACCCTGTCGGGGGAAAAAACCAAAAATAATTATATATCAAAAACTGTTTATCCTACCTTAATAAAAGGTATATACTGAAAATTTAAGGGGGAGGGCACCTATTAGGTCTGCATTAAGCATACCTTTAAGGAGACTAAGGTATAGTGGGTTTATATTTAAACATGTCAAAAATTAATGTGACTAACTTCTGTAATCTAGGTAATAAATCTGATAGTTTTCTAACATAAATGTTACTTATGTGGTATTTTAAAGGCATCAAATGGGTATTCTTTTTCTAGGCATCAAATGGGTAAATTTAAATATTCTTTTCTATTTGAAATGAAAGAGCATGGGTGCCTAAATAGACAGAGGAAAAATTTCCCTCACAGTAATGAACTATTGATAGGGAAATTCTTTTTAATATAATAAATGATTTTTAAAACTACATGTGAAGGATTAGTACTTTTATCATATTATTGGATCTGTAAAATACTAATTTCACAGGTCAGGAAATAAACGATTGTGATAAGTAAATTTTGAGCACATATTTGTACATGTGAAGTAACAACATTAATCCAGATAGAGCAAACAGGCATATATTCATAATTATAGCTTTTAATTGCATAAATTTGGCATTGATCATCTGACATCACAATCTTAAATGTTTATTCAACCCAGCAAGAGACACTATTCAAGAACAAGATGTCTTTGTGAAACACTGATGCCCCATATGGCAACTTATAGCAAAGGTTAAACTTTCTCAAATGCAAATCAAATATGTTGGTACCTAAAGTAAGGTCTTGTCTTGAGCAACATACCTGTGAAATATGAAAAACCTAGCAGCAACCATTGAATAGATATTGAAAAGGTTAAAGTTTTTCAAAAGTAAGTCAAGTATCAAGGTCAAGGTCAAATGGTCAAAATTAATGGTCCCCAAGGAAAGACCTTCTCACAAGGAATACACAATCATGTGAAATATGAAAGCTGCAGCAACAATCGTTCAAAAGTTATGGCCAAAGTTAAAGTTTTTCAAAAGTAGGCCAAATTCCAAGGTCAAAGGGTCAAAGTTGTTGGTATATAAAGAGAGGTCTTGTCACAAGGAATGCATATGTGAAGTATGAAAGCCCTAGCACCAACTGTTTAAAAGTTATGGCCAAGGTTAAAGTTTTTCAAAAGTAGGTCAAACTCTAAGGTCAAGGTCAAAGATGTTGATATCAAAAAATGGTCTTGCCACAAGGAATACACACGTGAAGTGAAAATCCTAGCATTAACTGTTCAAAAGTTATGACTTAAGTTAAAGTTTTTTCAAAATTAAAGTAGGTCAAACTCCAAGGTCAAGGTCAAAAGGTCAAAGTTGTTAGTATCCATAGGAAGGTCTTCACACAAGGAATACACATGTTAAGTACCAAATCCCTAGCCCAAACTGTTCAAAAGTTAAGGCCAAGGGTAAAGTTTTTTCAACAGAAAATCAAACTGCAAGGTCAAGGTCAAAGGGTCAAAGTTGTTGGTATCCAAAGAAAGGTCTTGTCACAAGGAATACACATGTGAAGTTTGAAAGCTCAAGCACCAACTGTTCAAAAGTTATGGCTGAGGTTAAAGTCTCATAAAATTTTGCAAAAGTGGGTCAAACTCCAAGGTCAAGGTCAAATATGATGATACCCAGAGAAAGGTCTTGTCACAAGGAATACACATGTGAAATATGAAAGCCATAGCTCTAACCAATCAAAAGTTATGGGCAAGGTTAAAGTTTTTGCAGACAAACAGACAGACGACAGTGCAAAAACTATATGCCCCCAAATCTTCGATTACGGGGGCATAAAAATGAATTTAAAAAATGATACTGTACCAAAAATTTAAACTGTAATATGTGTATTCCAAGACAAACTCAGCCTTATATCATCCTGACAGTTTTCTAATAAGACTAATATGCCATCAAAATGCTCCCTTCAACTCTAATACATGTTAATTCTTCAGACAATTTCTTTATGGTCTATGCCTTTAGAATCATTATTGACTAGCATTCCCAGAGATTGTGGAGAAATCAAATACTGCATTGGGCTGCTGAAGCAAGAATGAAACACAGAAAGCAAGGACAGACAAGTCTAATTTATTACTGAATTGAATTAATCAGGGAAGAAAGAAGCTAGCAAGAGTCAGAGTAGAATACCATGTGCACTGAAGCAATAAATATACAGTAAGTACCGGATTTCTTTAGCCATCTGCATGATTATGATCCATTCTTACAGTCAAACCTTATTATCTCGAACATGATGGGACCAAGAAAAAACTATGAGATATCCAAGGGTTCCAAATATTGAGGGTAAAATATCTAATGAAAAAGTGCTTGGGACTTCCAAATTGCTTCGACATATCTCATGGTATTCAAGATCTCTGTGTTTGAGAAGTTCAGCTGAATGTACTATCTGATATATCAAAATATATCAAAATAAATATTTCTATTGATTGTTTCACAAGATTTTTTCATACATCATTCAGTTACTCTTTGATTTAAGAACAATTGTTAACTTCAGTTACCCCATGCAATGAATCATGACTGTGACAAGTTGCAGGGAACCTTCCACAGGTTGAAGGAAAAAACTGACAAGTTGTTAATTAAAATTCTAATTTGTTCATAAGAAAATTTTTAAATCATGGATCTACATAGACCAACTATACTGCATTCACCTTATGTATCCATCATATTATTTTGTAGGTCAACTCTATAACAGTGATTTTCACAAGAATTTTCAAAATGCTTACATTTCACTTTTACAATAACTAAATGGGAAAAATCTTTTGGAAAAATTGTCATTAATTTACTGGAAGAAAAAGTTTGTATCAATTAATTGTAATTTGTGGGCATGTGAGAAAAACTTTGCTTGTGCATGTAAAAGTGGAGATAGTGACAAAATCTGGTCCATAGTCAGATATGCTTGGTATAAAGTTGCAGTCAGGGAAGGTAAGTTTGAAATAAATGTCCATTTCAGCAGGGTATAAATGAGGAAACCAACATGTTAAATATGAAATTCATGTCTTTGGTAAATAAATACTTAATGTCGTGACTATAATACTGTTATTTCTTCCCCAACTGTAAATTGCATAAACTATCAAGTTACTAAAAAATGGGATCTAACAACTGTTGACTGTTCAAGATTATACACATTGTAATATCAAAAAAAAGGAATTAATCAAATCAAGTACTAGAATTTTTGCCAAATTCTCCCAGCTTTTTAGATATTTCTCAAATGCTTCCACAAAGGTTAATTATGCAAAGTAAATAGATTTGAAGTGAGTATTTCCTTATTCTTCTGTTATAATTCCCAAACTTTGTAACCTTTCTACATTCAGAGCTATACATCTGTTTATAGTTAAATAATCAGAAGACTGCACAGTGATATATTTCCAAATTTCCCAACATTAATCTTCTGATGAATCATCGTATCAGTGAATATACATAACAAATGACATGAATTTTAAGAATTCTTACAGTTAGAGCAAATATATATTTTGACTCATCTATCTATTTTTTCATTCCTCCAAATATAATTAAACTGGAAAATTACTGAAGATATTAAACAAAATGATTATCATTGAAAAAAAAAAAGAATAATCAAATGGCAATCAGTTGTTAATAACTAATTCTCAAAAGAAGAAATACAATAAAACAAAATGAAAAAAAAAACCCACAGCTCTTTGACCTATCCTTTCATTTCAATTTTTTAAAAGCATTTTTTTCATCTCCATTTCAAAGACCGGTTCACATAATTCATATGCACTCAAAGATTGATAAATTATATATATCCAATGACAATGTGCAGGGGTACTTGCTAAGAAAAATGATGGAGGTAATTAGTATATAATATGTATATTATATATATATCGTTTATACAGAGATTATACAGAGCAAAAAGTTAAATATAATTTTTTATCTCAAAATAAGTTAACATAAAATATTATGCCATAAAATGAATACTGTTGTAAAATAAGTGACTTACTTTTAGATATAAAAATTCTTCAAGGTCAACAAAAACGCAGTTTGTAGCATTGTTATTTTTAAAATAATTATTTTTCTTTCTCAGTAGTAGTATATATATATATGATAACAGTAACACTGTGAAACACTGCAGCAACAGTGTCCTCAGTTCAAAACACTTGTCTATAACAGTAACAAAATACACATCGATAAGTTGAAGAATATACATATATGTGAAAAAGTTATTAAGCAAAAAATACCCAATCCTGATAATACATATAATAAATTATATACTCACTTAATATACACCAGAACATGACCCCTTTCAAAACACTGTCTTTCAGGTGGAGGGAAATCTCAGTAAACATAAAGTCTCGCGTACATAATGATTCCGAGGGCACAGGCGAGATTTCCTATTAGATTATTCCACTTCAATGAAAATGGGGGTGGTATTTTAGAATTCTATGTATGTTTTCATGCGTGTGTGCTAGCATGAAAAAGTTTATTTTCCCCAAAAACGTAATAATTTCAAAGTTAACATATATTTCCTAAATCTGCTCATTTCAAGACATGTTCCTTTTTTAATTTGAAAGAATTGAAGAGGTGATGGGATGCCTACCACCCCTACTTACGTTTGCCAAGCGATCCAATATGTCTGCGCTCATGGATAACAGTTGCCTGAAAAAGAAACGACTCTAAATGACTATCGAAATGCCCGAATCAAGAGAAACCATGGAACAGAAACAGAGTGAAATATTTTTTGTAAGTTTTTTGGTGACTACATGCCATTGAAAATTGTCTAATTTCGGAATAGGCACTAAAAAAAAATTTAATTTTGTTTTGGATAGAAATATAATGTTTATTCTTTAATTTGACAGGAAGAGGATGATTTGCCCTTCGAAGAAGAAATCCTTCGCAATCCATACTCTGTGAAGTCATGGTTGAGATATTTGGAATTTAAAAAAGAAGCACCAAGGACCACAGTTAATTTGATATATGAAAGGTCACTCAAAGAACTCCCTGGCAGGTATTTCCAAATATAATTTTCAAAGAAATGAGCAATGGAATTTCAGATATGGGTAATGAATACAGTCATTTAGGGTATTCTGAAATACCCCACAAATCGTGACTCTTGGTAGTTTACCTTACCGTCGTACCTCGCATGACGCATGCACACGTTACAACCAACCAGTCATTAACAGCAAGGTCTATACTTATTACATACAAAAAATCAAGAGGTAAAAATAATGCGTTAATTAAAAAATAATAATTTAATTCATTAACTTTCTATCCTTATCGAAGACAATGCCAGTGTAGAAATGTTGCATGATATTTCTCATCTGTGTCATAGCGTTGGTGGTAGATGAAACATGGCATATTAAGTATTGATAGAAAGGTAATTTTATAAGCTTCCAATAGCATTTTGTTTTTGATAACACGTCAGATATATATTAATTATGGTCACATTTGTAGCCCCATACAGTTGGGGGTATTTCAAACCACGTGTGTACATGACTGCAGCCAAATAAATTGCACAAGCTACACACTTGTTGTATGTCAGATATATTTATAATAATATTTTTCTTAAATGCAAGGGATATGAAAGTAATGATTTGACAAAGCAAGAGCTTATAAGACTTATACAGACTAGCGAGCTACAGGTTTCCAGCTAGCTTTTAAAAAGATTGACTCACTCATACTCTCACTAACTTGAAACCATAATGTCAACTTGTAACCAAAATGCAAACATCTACCCCCACCTATTTGTAGTCAAATTTGGTAGAGTACATGATGCATCAGCATGGGATTAAAGATGTTATAATCAAAGTCTGGTTTGTTGCATTTTCTCTAGTGCCTTAACTCATCTATTAAATTTGTATTTATTTAGCATTATTAAGCATGATTCTTTTTGGTAAAATCATACACTTGAGGAGTTTTTGATATGATAAATAAAAACTTAGAAGTTCCAAAGTTGTGAACATATATGATGGTATTCTGCTTTTTAGCTCATCTAAGCCGAAATTATGTTTTTTTTTTGTCTGTTGTTTATTTTTAACAAGCAGATACTAGTATATAGAGGATATTCAATGTTATGTAGATGAATATGGAATATTTCACAAGTGGGACAGGATTTTTTTTATATTTTCATGAGTGCAAAGCACGATCAAGTGAAAATATAAAAAAAAATCCTGTCTCACGAGTGAAATAAATTCCATATTCATCTACAAAACATTGAATTTTCTGTTTATTACATTTTCTTTGATTTTCCCTTTGACTCTGTCTTTTTGTAACACAGTGTCATAGGCTTTGACGTAATGGTTGAGACGTCATAGCTAAGCGATTGTGATATTGAAAAACGTTGTAAAGATGGATTTTTAACGACATATTTGGAAAACTTTGGCAGTATAACTATTAGTCTCTGTCAGGATGGCTCATTAACTCTGTCTTATAACAGGCCAGGGATTTTTTTTTAAAAACTCTCTTCATGAAGAGAAGGAAAATCATAAGTTTACCCTCACTTCTGGTATTCTCACTCTGTGAGAATACCATTTTGATATCCTTTCACACTATGTCAGAATATCCCTTTTATTCAGTAAATAAAACTGTTGAAAATGTAATAAAACCATATATCTATGATACATGTAAGCCAATATAGTATCTATCACATATCTTACATTTTGATTTCCAACAGTTATAAATTATGGTACAACTACTTAAAACTGCGACGGAGACAAGTGAAAGGCCGCTGCATTAATGATCCTGCAGTTGAAGATGTAATTAATGCTCATGAGAGGGCTCTTGTTTTCATGCACAAGGTAGGTGAAACTTGACTTCAAATTAATTAAAGTACAATTATGCAGTTAACCAAAAAACTGCCTTTAAAGTCTTTTCAGAATTAAGTTACTACATGACATTTGTATACCATCAATAAGCAAATACATGTACTACAATTTGAGCAGTAAAAGGTATGTCATTTCTCTACATTTATTCTTACATGTACATGAATATCTATACTGAATTTAGATGCCTAGAATTTGGATTGACTACTGCAAGTTTTTAGTGGACAACAGTAGAATAATAAAAACAAGGCGGACCTTTGACAGAGCGCTCCGGGCTCTTCCTATCACCCAGCATCACAGAATCTGGCCCCTCTACCTTAAGTTTGTCCGAATGTATGACCTGCCAGAGACAGCTGTTAGAGTGTACAGGAGACATCTAAAGGTTTGGTCGCAATTCAATTTATACAATATTTAAAATGCTTATATACATTTTTTTGTATGTGTTTAAAGAATAATTTTTGTTTTCTTTTAATTCTACTTTGAAAAAGTTTTTTGTTTTTTTTTTAATGAAGAAATCTTCATGGTAATTTTAATGGTTAATTTTATAAAAAGTGCTCTAATGTGATTTGTAAAGTGTTTGACAAATTTGTATAAGGAGTAGTATTAGATCTAAAAATTGATTTACATTTATTTTTAATTTTGAAAAAATAAGCTTCAGAAGGAGAACACAGAAGATTACATTGAGTACTTGATGAAGATAGGCTGGTTAGATGAAGCGGCCAATAGACTCGTGGATATTATCAATGATGATGTGTTTGTTTCTAAGGAGGGCAAGTCTAAACATCAGGTAAGCTCCGCTTACACAGATCTCTGGAACACTGCACTTTATTATTTCAGTCTAATGCCTGTTGATGTGGAAAAACCAGAAAATCTTTATATTTGAAATATTATCTCCTCTCTGAGATACATTTATTTTCTGTGGCTATAGAATTAGAAAATACAGTTATGCTGAATTTTGAGTATTATCTGATTTCCTCTAGCTATGGAATGAGCTTTGTGACCTTGTTGCCAAAAACCCTGACAAAGTGACTTCACTGAAGATTGAACCAATCATACGTCAGGGACTGAAGCGATACACAGACCAGATAGGGGTTCTATGGAACTCCATGGCTGATTACTACATTAGAGGCGGCCATTTTGAAAGAGTAAGTCTGTTGAATTGCAAGGCATAATAATATCTACTATGTAATTTTTACTTTGAAATATATCTATTTGTAATTTGAAAATATAGATTCAAGTATAATAATGATTAGCTCTTTAGTCTACTTTGTAGACAAGTTATCCAAAGTCTGGGCTTTTAAAAAGAAACCATAAGATTAATAGTAGGATGAAAATCTGGTACGAACAAACACTGTACTTTTTTAACATTTGATATTGTTTGTGTTTGCAGGCCAGGGATATTTATGAAGAAGCCATTCTTACTGTCATCACTGTCAGAGATTTTACTCAAGTTTTTGATGCTTATGCTCAGTTTGAGAAGAACATGATTAGTTCTAAGATGGAGAGTATGGAGGAGACAGGTGCTACTGAAGAGGGTCAGTATGAATGGCTACCAGGAAATTTTTTCTAAATATGGCAATATACAAAATAAATATATAAAACAAAGCCCCTTTTTAATGTGTTGTGACATTTTTGTTTTGTAATGAGTAGTTCTCTTATGCATCAGAATAATTTGCTCTATGTTATTTTTTTTTTTTGTTGATTTTAACCAAAATTATGAGATTGAAATCTGAAAAAAAATTATAATTTCCTTTGAATATGTTGTTTCTTACAGATGATTTAGAGCTAGAACTCAGGTTAGCAAGGCTAGAAAATCTAATGGAGAGAAGACCACTTCTGTTAAACAGGTAAATGAGATTTCATTTTGATTTTTGAAAAATTAACCTCTTGATATTCTATTAAAATATTTATATATTAATTATTATCTAAAAAATTAATGAAATATACTTTACAATTTTCAGTGTTCTGCTGAGACAAAACCCACATAATGTCCATGAATGGCACAAGAGAGTAAAACTCTTTGAGGGAAAGCCAAGAGAGGTATATATTGATGTGTAAATCACATGCTGTATATTTCTGAGGACTCACTGTACTTTCATCAGATGGTAGCTTTGTTTTAATTACTGACTCAACAGAATTTATGAAAAGTTCCCACAATAAAAAATTCTCACAGTTATGATTTACAGAATGTCAACACTTTGCAACACTGAATAGTTTGCTTTTTTAAAAACAAAATACATTGTATTTTCATCTTTTATTTTCAGAATGTAAAACTATAACATAGTGTTCATGTATATTAATTCATGTATAATTTATTAACTTAAATATTATTCTGTTACAGATAATTAACACATATACAGAAGCTGTTCAGACTGTGGACCCCAAACTTGCATCAGGAAAACCAAACACCTTGTGGGTAGAATTTGCTAAATTCTATGAGAAAGCTGGACAAATAGAAGATGTAAGTTTTTCAACCAAATTAACCATTTGTATTTTTTAAAGCAAACAACAAAATTGTTGAAGGGTGTACTGGAATCACTTTGTTTGTCCATATGTCTGTCCATCTGCAAGTAGGTAGATGCAATGTTAAAATCACCTTTTGACTTATCATATATGAAGGGGCATTAATCTAAGCATGCAGTGCATCTGTGGATAGTTAAATGAGATGTTTACTAAGATTTTGTCCTCAAGTGGAATATACAATGTAGGTCCTATCAGGACAACTCTATAGTTTCATTTGCTGTTTTTCTGTTCATATAAGAAGTAAATCCCTTTCAGGCAAGAGTTATATTTGACAAAGCAGTGAGAGTGCCATACAAACATGTGGATGACCTAGCCTCTGTTTGGTGTGAATGGGCAGAGATGGAGATACGGCATGAGTTAGTTTCTCTTTTCTTTGATTTATCATTTCTTAAATTATGTATAGTAACATAAACATAATTATTTGTTTTTTTTAGGAATGAAAATTATGGTTACCCAATTCCTACGGTATAAACTGGGCTGGGGCAGTTTACGCTTTATAAGCCGCGAAGTGGTTTATGAAAAACTGTAAACTGTTTCATCCCAGGTTATCCATATAAATTGGGTAGCTGTTAAATTCATTCCTTATAATTTAGTTTTCATTCATTTAGTGTAAGAAAAAGTGTAAGATGATTGCCCTTAAAAAATGACTTCAAATTGTGCAAAATTTAAATATAACGTTTTTGGCGCAAGTCATTGTGACATATGCAGCCCAATTTTTACGATATTAAGTTTTTTTTTTATTCAATTAAATACCGCGTTACAACCAGAATTAAATAATTATGAAATACAAGAGGAAAAGTGTAACTATTATGTTTAAAATCAAAATCTTTTATTTTAGAAACAATGAGGAAGCCTTAAAATTAATGCAGAGAGCCACTGCTCCACCGCCCAGAAAAGTGTCATACCATGACGAGGTATAAGGTTACTCATTATTCACTTCAGGAATAATTTTTATACATTTCTTTGTATACATTAAATAAGTAGCATGTATGTACATGTATATGTCAGTCTTTCTAATGCAATAATACATGCATGTACCTACCTATGTGCATGCCTTCTTCTGCATATCACATGGACTGACGGTAAAATTACACGTGTGTCCATTATTTCAGACTGAAACAGTTCAAAGCAGAGTTCACAAGTCTCTAAAAGTATGGTCACTGTATGCAGACTTGGAGGAAAGTTTTGGAACATTTAAGGTATGTTTTTTGATGTCTTGTGTTAATTAATACTAGGAGAGTTTTGTGAAATACTCATGTATTCATAATTTTAAATAAAATGTTTTAATTATGCTTGTTGATATTGTAGACCTGTAAGTCAGTGTATGATAAGATCATTGATTTGAGGATTGCCACGCCACAAATCATCATGAACTATGGCCTCTTCCTGGAGGAAAATAACTACTTTGAGGAGGCCTTCAAGGTAGGAAAATTTCTGTTCTTGAACCAGTATTTATCACAAACATTTAACATTAACTTGTTTATGCCCATTCTCCTATCATTTTAAAGTTGAAATAAAATTATAGGAATTTCTGAGATCTATAAATATTTGTTGTAATTTGTAGAAATGCTGAAAAAATCTTTTTAATGTATATCAATGTAATACTTGTATGTATTACTGTATGTATAGCTACAATGCGATAAATATAATTTTTGACATTTTTTTTTTACATTTTTATCCAGGCCTATGAAAAGGGAATAGCACTATTCAAGTGGCCAAATGTGTTTGATATATGGAATACATACTTAACAAAGTTTATGGAGAGATATGTAAGTATCAACTAAATACATGGATATTCAAATTACATGTCAATAATTTAATATTGTTTTCCTTTATAACATTTATATTTCTTGCACATGCTGTAACAGTTTATGGGGTAACCCTTGTTTACTCGTCAATTCCAGGGTGGTTCAAAGTTAGAGAGATCCAGGGATCTTTTTGAACAGTGCTTAGAAAACTGTCCTCCCAAGTTTGCAAAGAGTAAGTAATACTGTAGTGATATTTTAAGGAAAGAATTTTTAAATAGCTACCCAATTTATATGCTTTAAACATTTTTGGGGCAGTTTATGCTTCATAAAACACTAGGCGGTTTATGAAAAAGCATAAAGTGCTCCAACTGAGTTTATACCGTATTAATTGAATATCTTTTAAATTCTTTCCTTTTCATTTAATTTTTGATCATTAAGTGTAGAAAAGAAGATGATTGTACTAAAAAAAAATCTTCAAATTGTACAAAATTTTAAATGTGACATCAGGGGGATCAATTTTTTTTTAACACAAGTCTTTGTGACATAAACAATACAGTTTATAGGATATAAAGTAAAATTTTTATCCATTCAAATAGTGCATTAAAACTAGAATAAAATTATATTCAATATAATCATCAATAAGTAGCCAGAGTAACATTAGTCATTAAAAAGTCAATATCGGTATGCCAATGCCAAAGTTGATCATTTATTAAAACGCATTTAATCTTTGAAATTCTTCTTTACCCCTGTATCTAAGAAACAATTTTTATGAATATAATAATTGAAATAAAAGTCTGCATAATCCTTAAAATTCATTTCAGAACTCACATTGGAGCTTAATTGGTCATGGCCCAGTGATGATTCTGTTCTGATATTTAGCGGAATTCAGCTAATCTGAATCCAAGAATCTGATATTTACGAGTGTTTTCTGATATTTTGATACTTTCTATTTTTGCAGATATCCATTTCAGTTTTTATCCGGGTAAAAAATTCAAGTTGTTTAGTCCATATTTTGATCTAGTCTGCATCATCCAGACGTTTGCTTTTATCTCCAAGTAAGGCAACCTTAACATAGGCATGAGTCAGACTTCCTTACAATGGTGTGGTGGTTTATTCAGCCAGGTCTGGATGTAAAAGTTGTTTGAACAAACTGTCACAATTCAATTTTTGTCACTCATTTAAACCTTTTCTGGGCTTTCTAAAGCCCATATTTCGTGAGCTTTTCCACCACCAAACTATTTCAGATATTTTGGCCAATTCACAGAATCATCACTGATGGCCTGAGAAACTCATGATGCTCAGGTGACCATCCAGGCTCATTTTTAAATGTGAGGAAGTTTTTCCTTTCATAATGATACATGAATCTATAGCCATAGACATGCTATGGCTGATACAATGTACATGAATCATTAACAACAAAATCACTCCCTTGTAGGTTTCTTCTTGTTGTATAATGATACATGAATCATAAACAACAAAATCACTCCCTTGTAGGTTTCTTCTTGTTGTATAATGATACATGAATCATAAACAACAAAATCACTCCCTTGTAGGTTTCTTCTTGTTGTATAATGATACATGAATCATAAACAACAAAATCACTCCCTTGTAGGTTTCTTCTTGTTGTATAATGATACATGAATCATGAACAACAAAATCACTCCCTTGTAGGTTTCTTCTTGTTGTATAATGATACATGAATCATAAACAACAAAATCACTCCCTTGTAGGTTTCTTCTTGCTGTATGCCAAGTTGGAGGAGGAACACGGACTTGCTAGACATGCTATGGCTGTTTATGACAGAGCAACGAAAGCTGTACTCCCAGAGGAACAAAATGAGGTAAACATCTGTATCATAACAGACGATGAATTGACAATTGATGAATTACATATTTATAAATTTAATATGCTATTATATCTGCAACAGATATGAAGCTGTAAATTTTACCATGTTCTGACAAAACACTGGATTCTTGATGTACCTTTTATGAATTAATATGAAATGCTGTTGGTTTTAATTGTACCATGACTGCCCTTTGTAGATGTTTAATGTTTATATCAAACGAGCTGCAGAGATTTATGGTGTCACATACACCAGACCTATATATGAGAAAGCAATTGAAGTTTTGCCGGATGACCAGGCCAGGTACAAACATCTATGTAAATTTGTCTTTTTCAATAATAATATTATAGACATACACTTCCGATGTTTGATTCTCTTAGTATATTTCAGTCCACAGATTTTAACTTTCTTTTCTGTAAAAATTTTTGTATGTAAGATGTACTTTTGTTTTATGTAAAATCCCTTCCTGTCTATTTTGACAGAGGGATGTGCTTGCGGTTTGCTGATCTGGAAAGAAAACTCGGGGAAATTGACCGAGCAAGGGCAGTGTATTCCCACGCATCACAGATATCTGATCCAAGGGTCAGTAAATACTGTACCACTTTTTTTTGTTGCAGTTTTGTTGAAAAAAAAAATTACTTGCACAGGAGGCAAAGATAAGGATTTGAAAGCCATGAATATAACATTTTCAATGAGATTTGTTTTGTTGTCCTTGTATCAGATTAACTATGCATCAGGTGCATTTCTCAGTCAAAAATTTCAAATGTTTGTAGTTGTTATTTAGGTATTACTGGTATATGAAATTGATATCTTTATGTTGATGGAATAAATGTGAACTACATGTATGTAAGTTACAATGTCCATTCACACTTTTAGGTGGCACCAAATTTCTGGCAAGTTTGGAAGGAGTTTGAGATTAAACATGGCAATGAGGACACAGTCAGGGAAATGCTGAGAATCAAACGCTCAGTACAGGCTATATACAACACACAGGTCAACTTCATGTCAGCCCAAATGTTGGCAGCATCAGGTGGAAAGGGAGATAATGCTGGTATGAAAATTTTTTAGAAAATGTGATTTCTCAGAGAAGCTAAGATTCAGATCATATTTTCTGAACATATTATAGTGTTATGTTCTTACTACTGCAATTTTATTAATTTACTTAAAAATGACAAAATTCAAGATTTAATTCCATGTATTCTAATTGTAAAGTCAGAATTCTTCAATAATTGATTGATACTTGATTTTATAAAACCAGGAGAGGCTGGTGAGAAAGACAACATGCAGAAGCTGGAAGAGAGAGCCAGACAGCTGGCAGAGGAATCTGTTAAAGACCAGGCTAAGCCAGATAAAGGCATTCTGTTTGTCAGGTAAGCTGTACAGGCTACAGCTAATATTGTATACAGGGAAATTTTTGCCCCTTTCATCCTAGACACAATTGGGCAAATTTAAGATGGGCGAATTCAAAGAAAAAAGTACAGTCAAACCTCATTATCTCAAATTGGAAGGGACCGAGAAAATACTTCAAGGATTCAAGATATCCAGGGTAAAATACTTAAGGAATAAGCAGTTGGGACCTCAAAATGACTTCGACGTATCCATGGTATTCAAGATATCCATGTTCGTTTGAGATATCCGTATTCGAGATACCAAAGTTCATCTGTATATAATTTCTTAAACAAATCTGTGACTGTGCCAAATTAAAAACGGGGCAAAATTGTTTGCAAGTATGAAAGGGCTAAAATAACAAGGGGCGAAAATAACCCTGTATACAGAAAACTCACCTATTAAAAATAATTTGCTGCTAAAAGTAAACTCAGTTTCTTTTTGTAAGAAAATGTACATTTATACTTAATTATAATTTAATTCTTTTTTTACCTCTTTCATAAAATCATCAATTATGATTATTTTTGGAACATTCAAAATTTGACATCTTTATAGGAGTGACAATACACAGGAGGAGCTGGGAGAGTTGACAAAAACTGCTAACCCTGACGCTATTGATATTGACGACGATTTCTCTAGTGATGAGGAAGCTCAAGTTGAAGGTAGGCTGAAACACTAGAGCTACAGTCCATAAGTCTGTTCCTTTTGATTATGTAGGAATAATAATGCTTTGGGAATGTAGTACTTGTTCAAAACAGCTGAGAGATTTTAGTAATTGAATGCAACTTTTGATTACCCAAAGTACAGTGATAAGAATCAAAGGTCCGTTTTAAGTGGACCAAACATATTTTGCCATAAAAAGTTGTAAGATTTATGTATTATACTAAGGGGAAACAAAGTATTTTGTGTGAAGTTGATTGTTTGACACCCCTATAAAATTTGATGGTGGTGGACTCTTACATTCAAGCTTTCTTTGGGGATGTATAAATTACTGAAAACCAGCTTTTATTCACACGTGAGAAATATCACTAAGTTTTGCGACCTTCTTTTATATGCAAATATTTCTCAATGCGAACTTCAATTTATTTCATTGTATATTTATGTAGAATTTTCCTCAGTCACGAAAATTAGTTGCTGTGGATAGATTGCAAACTGACAAATCACAAACAATAATCATTGGTTTACAGTACATTATGATTACCAGTGCTTTTAAGCTGTTCTGAGATAATCTTAGTTACTGCTAAGCTCCATGCCAGAACAGCCAATATTGCTTTGTCATATACTTATCTATTTACTGAAAGAATTTTACAATGCTTTTACAACTTACCTATTTTGAAACATGTCTTATCTTCATTGTAAGCATGTACTTGCCATGATTGTGTTCACTTTGACAGAATTTGTCCTACTACGAGTATTTTGGCAAAAAGTTGTTTATGATGAATAAGAAAACAATTCATCTTTACATATTTCTTCTTATTCAGAAATGGAGGTTAAAAGTGTTCCTACAGAAGTGTTTGGATCTCTGAAAAAAGATGAGGAAGAGGACTGAACAGAAAACAGGCACAAGAACACTGAAGGAACTGTAGCTCTACTGAAACTTGTGTAAAACCTGATAATGTTCAGACACAGACATTTTCTGTATAGATTTCTGTTTGATTTGGGAACTTAACGGATAGATGAAATTTGTATTGAAATTCTTCTTCCAAAATCCCAGCCATAAAAGAAGTCTGCACATCATTCCATGCTACCACGGTTTATAAATAAAGAAGGGTCTGAAATTGAATGGTTTATATTTTTACTATATTTTACATATAATGTACAATATACAAAATGTACACAGCAGATACACATGGAAATATCAATGAAAGGAACTGATTCAAGTTTACATAGAAAAAGTTAAAACAATGCATACTTTATTTTCACATTTATGTTTTGTAGCATGAGGTATATGGTAATAAGTGCCCATTTTGTTTTCATAGTTAGGTTTGATAACTTACAAGCACATGCTCTTTTGCATACGCATGAATTCACCAAACCCTATATATTTTGATGAGACATTACGAGCATGGCCATAGGAATGGGGGGGGGGCACGGGGGGGCCGTGCCCCCCCTCCGAACAATTTTGCCGATATATAGATTACTATAGTAAACATAGATACTATATGCTTGTGCCCCCTCAATAAAATCGTCTGATGACCTTCCCCCCCCCCCTTTTTTTTTGCTTGTCAGGAAATTTTTGGTAGTGCCCCCTCAACTGTCAATTGAAAATGTATGGCTGTGCCCCCCCCCCCCCCCCCCCGAACTGAATTTGCTTCCCACGGGCCTGACGAGAGAGAAATTATATTTTGGACTAGATTATGTATGAAATATTAAAATCGCAAAACAGAAACATTTTTGTACAATCTCTTGAAGAGATTGTTGTTATACTTTATGACACACGTAATACTGGAAAACACCGTCCCATTTAGGATCGCCGCCAATGCATCGGTCAATTTTCAGTCCAATATCCATTAACAAATCGGCAGCGGACACTAATACAGGGGTGTGTCCAAATATAACGATGTAACCGCCCTTTTTCAAACTTCTTAGTAGTGGGTGGATCATTTTTCTTGCATCCGCTGCTTTTAGGACCTCGGAATTTATGAACCTCACAAACACTACATCTGCGGTTCCGTCGGTTATTTTCGGTTCAACGGCATTCCCACAGTAAATTTCATCCACACGTTTTTTGGCAAAGTTAACCATATGTTGACTGATGTCTTGGCCCACAGTGTGACTTTTTGGTAGAGCTTGCTTCATTGTCCACAGGAACTGACCAGTTGAGCACGCGGGGTCGTATAACGTCAAGTCTTCCTTTCCAAGAGACTGAAGGAATTGCACAGAGTATTCGCGGAGAAAAACCTCCCCCTCCCCAAGCTGAAGAGCAAGAGTCTCGTCGATTTCCCATCCTTCGTCCGGGCAATGAATTTCCTCCTTATAAGCCGTCTGCAGGACGGGGTATGGGAAGATGATTTCCATATGTTTGATGCGGTTTTGAACAATGTCGTGCATTATGTACTTTTTCTCGCTAGGTGTGAGCTCTTTGTAGTACACCACGAAGCCGTCGTCTTGAACGCGCTGGTCAAACATTAGTCCGAGAATCATACTGGCTCTGATGTGACTACAGTGCAGCTCGCGGATTTTGCTTGCAATCCACTGATGCGACAAGATACGCCGTCCTACAAGCGCACGTAACATTCCATTATGTTGCTGCCAACTTTTTAGGAGGAAAACACTCTGGGGAAGTTCGTCCCATTTCTCAAAATACATTTTTGGCGTTCTCTCACTAATTGCGTCCCAGTCAATTCCGTCCGAAGCTTTGACGTCGTCAGTTATATGACGCTCCTGGTATGTTTCAACTTCTTTTAGAATCAGCTCTAAATTTCTTTTATCGTGCTTGTCCGTAGTATCATTGATTAACTCCTTGAATTTAACTTTCGATTCTTCCCACTTTCCGTCAGTGATCAGTTTCTGAGCTGCGTAAAGTCTCTTACGAGTTTCGGGATTGTTTACGTCACGGAATATCCCGTCGAAATCAAACGTGCTGTGTCCCTCTGTAGCAGTGGGCAAGCTTCCTTCTTTCGTACTCATTTTTTGATGTGATTTTGTAGGAAACTTGGGTAAGTCAAAGTGTGGACTGTAGTTGCAGCTTGGACTATTTGTAGGAAATGGGCGTCCTAGCACGCGAAATAGGGAACGTCCTATATTCCACTGATAAAACCAAACTTAGGTTGAAGTTTAAAAACCATTTGATAACAGTATCTCAGACAAGGCCTGTTGTCTTTATCGATGTTTACTTGTATGTACTGTATGTTAAGTTTTGTTCATAATTGCCGAAACTATAATCCTAAAAAATATTGATTGGTAGTTTTGGAGAAATAAATACTTCAATGGGATATGAATTCTGTCTGTTTTAAGAAATGTGGCTTTTTTCGGCCAATATCGACCTTTGCTCCTGAACATTTTTGGAAGAAATTCTTACTACTGTAATATCAAGCGTGCTACCGTAGTCTGTTTTTTTTTTTTATAATTAAGATATAGTTAGCCATCAGTATAGTTTTGTTGACTTGTATTTCAATTTTAAAAAAAAATTAATAACATAATATGGTTTTTATTACAGACTGACATAAAGAAAGAGGACGTACAAGGCAAGGACAATCCCCCGCTCTGGGACAATATATTTCTCAATTTCCAAAGTTCACTGAAAAGTTATATTTTTCAAAAATAATGTTTTCAGTAAAGTCATCTTCAACAGATTCAATTATTATTATAAAGTGAAAAATAGTAAAAACGTGATTGCATATTGAAGAATTTTTTGCAGTTCAGAAAAGAAAAAAATGTGTATTTTAATATTTTTTTGTGATCGATTTTTAGAAAATTCGAGACCTTCCACTTGCTACAAATTTAGAACAAATCGTTGATTTCGAATTGAACACATTAGAGCATTTATGTTTATCTGAAGAATAAAAATAAATTCAGCGAATAGTTATGCAGGAAGAAATTTCAGTGGGGTGGTAGAGGGGGGGGGGGGGCAACAGAGCAAAAATTCCTTGACAAACAAAAAGACAAAACAGAAACAAAGAAAAGGTCATCAGGCGTTTCCTATTGTAGTCAATTCATTATTATTCATTTAAATGCTGTTTAATTTGGACCCGGTTTAATGGTCACAAATTCGACAAACACTTTTCAACTGGATGAGGTCTAATCCTACACCGTTGGTCTCAACGTTTAACGTTCGGTTTTCATCCTGGGTAAAAATTCTTAGTTAAAGCAATATGAGCTGCATTTTTGAGAATTTTATTTTGCTGTTAAAATGTGTTATTATGATAAATTTGTAAGTAATTTAAACCTTTACGATCAATTAGACAGAAATAAAGTATCAAACTGTGTCAGAATAAAGGATTCTTTACAATCAAATATATAGTATTATATAAGAAATCAATATTGTACAGGACGACAATAATGTAATTTTGCTTCAATCAAAGCTTATAAATAGTTCCTCCATCGCAAATATGAACAACAGAAGTTAATTAATAAACATTCTTTTTTCTGTCATTGAAATAGTTAATAACAATTTTGCAACAAAAATTTCTGACATCAAATTTGCAGCTCATATTACTTTAATTGAATTGAATTATTGCGCGCATCAATTCAACAGTTTGAAGAAAGCAACAGTTCAGGTGTTACGCCCTTCCATCAATCCTGGGGTCAAATGCTGGTGAGGGTCTCGAGAAGTTTTTTTTTTTTTTTGGGGTCACGGGATTCACCATTTAAACTTCGACTTAATTCCTATCGACTTAATTCGTCTCGATTTCTGCCAGCAAAAATCGTTTTGGTGACCTTGGAAATGCTACGACAGCTGTGTGGCAGTGGCGAAAGTCGAGTCTTCGACACCTTTAAATAACCGAAACCTGTAACACTGCAGAAAGCTGTGAAGGAAACACCATTTCATATGTACTCCTCATATTGGGTGTTCTAAATGCAAAAGTTGGCACCAACAATGAAGGAAAAGAATCCATAATGGGAAAATATGGTTGTGGTGTGATTTAAGCAATAATTGTGGTAGATTGCTAGATTTTTGCCAAGAAAATAAGTTGATTATTGGAAGAACCATCTTCCAACACAAGAACATTCACAAAGGAGATGGGTGAACATGACGAGCGATAAGCCTATAGTGTGACAAACATGAAGATGAAAAATTAAATTTCAATTATATAAAAATTTTCCTAGATATTTCGTCTAACATTAAATTATACTTTATGTAAAATCCCTATAATTTGCAAAAATCCCTCAAAGAGTGAAATTATTTGCCTGTGAAATATTAGACACACACTAAAGCGGGCAAAAAGAGTCATTTTCTCATACTATAATACTATTTTTCGATATGAGTGGGTCTTCGCTCCACCTTTTTGAAAGTTAATCCTCAAAGTTTGCATAAAAATATGCATTTTTTGGTTACCAAAAATATGGAGCAATGACCCACTATACCTTAAAAATATACTTTTATGACATAACATTCGCATCTTTTCGAGAAATACTTGAAGTCCATTAAGTCAAGGGTCATATCACAAACATGATTTAAATGCCACTATTCATCAGGACTTGTGTAGTCTAGTGGTTAGCGTGCTAGTCTCGAAAGAAAATAATACTCAGGATTTTTATTGCTAGGGTTCGAACCCCTATTAATTTTTTTAATAAAAGAATAAATTTTGCCGAGAAAATTTTCCTCGGAAAAGTTTTGTTTATCATAATTTCATAGGTTTAAATAATGAGAACTTTACTCTAAATACTAAATTCACAAATTGAACATGATTTTTATATATCTGACGCTATAGGCTTTCTGCACGCTATGTTCGCCCATCTCCTTAACATGGATTTCACCAGATGGTCACACAAAGAACCAAATTGACTATGTACTGATAAACAAGAGGATGATAGGAACATTGGATGAGTATTTAAAAAAAAAGTAAAGGTATTAAAAGGGGCCGATATAGGAAGTGACAACACTCCTGTCCTAATAAAACTGAAAATGAAATTGAGAAATGTAAAAAAAAAAAAGTGGCACAACGATCTAGGGCTGGGACGATATATCGAGATATCGATAATATCGATTCAATGTGAGGATGATACGCATATCGATACGTATGAAGAAATATCGACATATCGCCCAAAAAAATCTGACTCATGTTTTTCTTTGTTTACTTAACATTTTGGGTTTAATATCTAAAATAGATATGCTTAATT